CTGCCTAAGGGTGGAGTGCATGCAGAAGACAAGGCTGAGTGGGTTAATGGAATGAATGTGATGACCAGAGACCCTTAGTAGCTCCACTTGAACTGGTGGATGGAGAGGAAGTAGTGCTGCAGTGGCTACATGCTGTGTACTTGGGATTGGAAAGGGTCAACAATCCCATAGATTGTCCCATATTGTCCATACATGCATTGAGCCAAAACATTTAAAGAATATCCTTTTTAGTTACAGGCAGTAATTCAACAGACTGAGGCAAGATATTCAAGAGACTGAGGCAAGAGGATCATTTGAAGCTAGGAATTCTCTCCTAGGAAAATACCAAGCATTTAAAAGGATTGCACTTGAGTATGCAATTCTTTTAAACTATGGTGAAATTCTATCTGAAGTTAATAATGTCTATTCTTTTTGGTAGTGTTGACAATACAACAGCTGGAAAGCTGTTAATGAGTAAATGTTTGGAATTCTGTTGGTCTAAAAAAAAGTATGATTTGCCTTGTGTGTTGGAGATAAATTTTGTTAGAAGACAGTATTTCAAATTCAATAATGAAAAATTACAACTTGTTAAAATTAGGAGGAGGGCAAATAAAGAAGGCATCAGCAGAAAATTGTTTTAGACATTTTTATTAGAAAAGAACCAATATAGAATGACAAGATGACTGAGAAGGTAAAGACTCCTGACAGGCTGATCAGGTGGAAGTTTAGCACAGATTGCTCAAAGTTGTCTTTTGATCTCTACAGGGAACTTGATGAGACACATGTATCCACACACATACAAGTGTGTACATAATTTTACAAAAATATAACAAAAAGTAAAGAACAAATGTCTAAGACAGTGACCTAACAATCTATTTATAGCAGTTAGAACCAGGACCAAGAGTAAATCTAGTTTATAAACTGTAAAATGAAGAAATGTTACACATACATGAGGAAGTCAGCAATGTATACAAATAACACAAATGTTCCTTTAAAGGGTTATAAAACTAGAGCCCTGTGGTGGTGGTGCCCATCTTTCATCCAAGCACTCAAGAGGCAGAGGCAGAGGCAGAGGCAGAGGCAGAGGCAGGAGGATCCCTGAGTTTGAGGCCAGCCTGGTTTACAAATCGAGTTCCAAGACAGCCAGGTATACACAGAGAAACCTTGTCTTGAAAAACAAAAAAAAAGTTGTAAAACTGGTAAACACTACTAATCAAGATAAAAGAACAAATCTAGTATAAGGAATGAAAAAGAATATACTGTATCAAGCCATTCAGATATTAAAAAAGAGAATGGAATATTAAGTGCATAATTTCACCAAAACTTGAAAACTTAGAAATTGCAAGTTTTGGGGGGGAGTCAGAACATAATAGAACTGCCACCAGATAAAATACTATGAAATATAACTAGTCCTGTATGTTCTAAATAGATTTAGTTTGTCAAAGATTTTCTTAAAATTAAGCAAAATGGACAAGTACTAGTATTGGCCCCACACTTTATGGGACGGATTGGTGGGACCTGGATTGCTGGAAACCAAAATGCCTTTCTGTTTTTTCCATCCACAGGCTGAGGAGGAGGCTGCTACAGTCAGCACACATCCCTGTCTGGTCATGTTCCCTTCCAAGTCCACTGCTATGGCACTAGCGATTCTTCAGGACTGGTGTGGGTGGATGGGTGTCAATGCCCAGCGCTCACTGCTCATCCTGGGCATCCCTGATGACTGTGAGGAAGAAGAATTCCAGGAGGCTGTGCAGGCTTCCCTCAGGCCCCTGGGCATGTACCGAGTGCTTGGCAAGGTCTTCAGAAAGGAGATTGGGGCAAAGGTCGCTTTGGTTGAATTCGCTGATAATTTAAACCAAAGTTTGATCCCCCAACAAATACCAAATGAGAGGGGGCCCTGGACTGTGATCTTCCTGCCTCGGGTGCCTGATATAGAGTCACAGGATACATTCAATTTCCCTGCACAGGCTCATGGGCAAGCTTTGGAAGGGGCTTCAGGTGGGGCAGGGGCTTCAGGTGGGGCAGGGGCTTCAGGTGGGGCAGGGGCTTCAGGTGGGGCAGGGGCTTCAGGTGGGGCAGGGGCTTCAGGTGGGGCAGGGGCTTCAGGTGGGGCAGGGGCTTCAGGTGGGGCAGGGGCTTCAGGTGGGGCAGGGGCTTCAGTTGAGGAAGGAGATGTAGATGAGACAGGGGCTGTGGGTGAAGCAGGCTGAGGATCTGAGGATGAGGCAGGAGTGTCAGATGAGGAAGGAACAGAGGGTGAGGAGGGAGGAGCAGGTGCAGCTCCTCCTGTCTCCTTTATACAGGAGGAAGGAGCTGCAGCTGAGGGAAGAGTGTCAGGTGAGGAAGAAGGTGACATGGGAATTGCAGGTGTTATAGGAGCTATAGGTTGGGCAGGAGCTGCAGGTGAGGTAGGAGCTGCAGGAGAAGGAGGCGTTTTAGAGGCAGGAGCAGGTGATGATGGGTCTGCAGGTGAAGAGGGGTCTGCAGGTGATGAGGAATCTGTGGGTGATGAAGGGTCTGGGAGTGATGAGGGGTCTGCAGGGGATGTAGGATCTGTGGATGATGGTGGGGCTGTGGGTGAAGCAGGAGCTATAGGTGAGGATGAGGCAGGAGCTGCAGGTGAGGCAAGAATGTCAGATGAAGAGGGAGCTGCAGGTGACATGGGAGTTGCAGGCATTATAGGAGCTGTGGGGTTGGCAGGAGCTGCAGGTGAGGCAGGAGGTTTGGGTGAAGAAGGGGCCTTTGATGTGGCAGGAGGGGCTCATGGAGCTGGAGCCTGGACCCAGCAGTGGAGCCAAGCCCTGCAGCCCATCCTGGAAAACATGGCCTACCAGGAACTGAGACACTTCTCTGGGATGGAAGAGCCTGGCTGTGGGGGTCAGTCTTTTGAAAGCTGGCTGGACCATGCCAATGACATGCTATACCTGTGGCGCCACATATCTGAGAGGGAGAGGAGGCGGCGGCTGGTGGAGAGCTTGGGGGGCCCTGCCCTGGATCTCCTGTGTGAGCTTCTGGAAGAGAACCCAGATACTCCAGCACAGGACTGCCTGGCCGCACTGGTGCAGGTGTTTGGCAACAAGGATACTGTGATGACTGCGAGGCTGAAGTTCCTGACTTGCTCCCAGCGGCCTCAGGAAACCCTCTTTGCTTATGTGATGCGCCTAGAAGGTCTGCTGCAGATGGCCATAGAGAAGGGGGCCATCCAGCCTGCAATGGTAGATCAGGCGAGGGCAAGGCAGGTGCTGATGCGGGCCCGGCCTAACCAGATGCTGCAGAACAACCTGAGGAGGATGCGGTTAGAGAGGAGGCCACCTGGCTTTGTGGGGCTGCTCAGGCTTGTCCGGGAGACTGAAGCATGGGAGGCAGCTCTGGCTGAAAATGCAGTGGCCCGAGTGGTGGAAGGGGTGGAAATGCATGGTGGAGAGCTGGATGTAGCCCAAGCTGCTCTTGTGGGTGTTGGGGGTGCTGAGCCTGCCCCTGATGTTAGAGAGTCGTTCCCAGCCAGTGAAGATGCTGGCCAGGCTGCTGCTGCTGTTCTTGAGCAAGCTGCTGAGGACACTCCTTATAGTGATGGTGACACAAAGGAAGGTCCTGACTCTGATGAGTCAAAGGTCTTTCCTGTCACCCAGAGAGATGAAAATGTGTCTGCCCCTGCTGGCTCAGGCCAGGCAGGGCTCACCGAAGGCCCTGGTATGCCTGCCAGCTTGGCCTATGCAGGAGAGCAAGAAGTAGAGCAGAATGTACCAGAGGGGCTGAAGGAAGAGTCAGAAAATGAGTATGGGGCATGGGAAGCTAGTCACCCCAAATCCTTCTTTGGAAAATAGGCTCAGAAGGTTCAGGGGCTTCCTCCTACCTCAGGCAGCTAAGACCTAGAGGCAGGCAATGTAAGCCCAAGGCCTGTGCTTTACTCCAAAGGTACACAACGGCCCAGAAAAGGTTTTGCTCAGCCTTAAACCAGCCCCCTCTTTCAAATCCCCAAGGGGTCCTGGCAACCACAATCACCTCCCATTTGAGTTATCCAGGTGACCACATTTGTCACCAAGTGAAGGAGGGAGAGGTACCCTTTCCCATGACAGTGTCTCCTCCAGATCTAATCCTAAACTTTTCTGGCTTGGCTTGCCTGAAACACATTTCTGAGGTCCAAGGCTCAAAATTAAGGATGTGGCCTGAGAATCCACCTGTTCTAGACTGGAAGATGTGGGAAAGAGGCCATCCTAACACTTTCAGCTATTTTGTTCTCCCAGCACAGGCAACCCACCTCCTCACATTTGCAGTCTCTAGGCAGGTTGCTTTCTGCCATGGGGGGTTCACCCTTATCTGTCTGCCTCATAGTGACCTAGCTGTCCAGAGTATTCACCTTCACACACAATCCCTCATCCATTGGTTTTTGGTAAAGCCATGAAATACATTAACCTGGGAAAGTGGAAGTTCAGACTACCTGGTCAACCACTTCCACAGAGAGGCCTGCAGTGAACTTCTGTGCTAGTGAAGCCTTAACCTGCCCATATTGTGAGGTACTTGTCTGCTTAGTGTGAACCTAGGTTGGCTGCCACTGGCTGATTGTTTTCCAAATATGTGCATTGATACCTGAGCAGGTCCTTTCCAGAGACCCCCAAGTCTAGCAACAGGAGCCAGCAGGAAGAACAGAAGATGACAAGACACTGGTTGCTGCTTACCTTGTGACTATCACTTGCTTGAACTGCACGGGCAAAATGTCATGGACCTGGGAGCAGGCTGAACACCTGTTTTTGGTTTTGTTCCATTTAAGTTGTTATTCATGACTCTTACTTCCTCTACTTGGTAGGGTACTCAGTGTTGTGATTTCTGATGTCCTATAATTGGCCTGTGTCAATAATAGGGCAGGGCCACCCCACAGTGTGTGACCCCTTGAGGTCATCCTCCAAAGTAAATGAGTATTGCCAGAAGCCATTGTCTTAATAAGATGCACATCTTGGATTTTTGAAAAGGGAGAAAATGGTGAGGTGCCCCAAGGTGCTTTCAGAGCCCCAGGAGGAGTGTGGTCTGGAAACTAGAGTTTCTGGTGGCTATAATGTGTTTCTGATTAGTGTTTTACCGTTTTCAATGGTTTCATCAAATGTTTTTCATTAATAAATTTTTTGGATATTTCAGCTGTGTCTCACCATTTCCTTGGGCAGTTGGGTATGGTATAGGCTTACAGGGGTATCAAATTTCAGCTTGGCTCCCATGTGCTATATCATTACTGAGGGTAAGCAGTAAGCACTTCAATAGGCAGGTTAGGGATTGATGAGAGCTTTTATTTCAGAGATGATTGTAGTTCAGTTTCACTGGTCTAATTTGGACTTTTCAGAATGTTTTGCCAGCCTGACATGATGGCCCATGACTAATCTCAGTACATGTTAGACTTGTAGTTTAACCATGCAGGGACTTTCAGGCCAGCCTAGGCTACAGCTACATGCAAGACTATTAATTTTTATTTATGTGTATGTATTCATGTGCCATTTGTGCAAGTGTCTTCAGAGACCAGAAGAAGATATTGGATACCCTGAAGCTGGAGTTGCAAATGGCTGCGAACTTTCCAGTGTGGGTACTGGGAACTGAACTATGGTCCTTTGCCAGTGCTCTTAACTGCTAGGCTGTCTCTTAAACATGCAAGATGATTTTTGTTGATTCTGGTTTTCTCAGTTTAGGGACAACACCACATGGAGTTTAAGGCAACACTAACCATCACACCACTTTTTACCTTTTGTTATTCTGCCAGCTGTGAGCCACATTGTAACCCGAGGCCTGTGATAAATTGAATGCCTCTAGTCTCTGGCCTTCAGTCTTATTCCCTAACAGTGTCAGATGCCTAAGCTAGCATAGGCTGTGGGGTTGCATGTAGCTCAGGGTTTAAAGCCAGAGTACTTTTCAACAATGGGTCCTTCCTTAAGCCATTGTAGCTCCCAAGTATGAAGTGTGAGCATTATATTCAGCATTATGTCCGTAAAACTGGCTGTGTAAAGGCCCTAAGTAATTAAAGAGACACTGCGTGGTGACTTGTAAATGCTTGGCATAGCATTTACTCTGTGGGGGCATTTCTGAACTCAGGGTTAGGGGCCATGAGTGGGTTGCCAAGGGGTAAGGAGGAATTGGGGCTTTAGGGTGGCCCACAGAGGACTGGTACCTGTTTCTATCCAGTGGTTATTGTGCAGGCTTCAGAGCCTTTCTTTCTGAAAGTTTTGTCTGAGGTCAGACAAATTATATTATCATTGTTTAAGTTGTAGCCAGTTATGCCACTGTCACATTTCAGTTACACTGACGTTTGCTGGGACATAGGCAGCTTTACAAAGAGGCCACACCAAGCCAAGTGTGAACTATGTGCCAGATCTGCTACAGAGGTGGTGGCCTTGCTTTTCAGGGACTATGTTACCCCTCAGTGACTCCCTAGGAATCCCGAGTCTCTTTAATTGGGGGCAGTAGTACATTCCTGCCCTCTGGTGCCATAAACTGAAGTGCATGTGGCACTGGGGTTCCACATGGCCTACTGGGAAGTTATTGGGAGATCTTGGGAAGTTATGGGCAATGCATGCCTCTGAAGTACAAGGTACATGTTTGTAGGTACATAGTACTGGTGCTGGCAGAGGGAGCAAGGAGATGCTCCCAGACTACAGACAGCAAGTATTAAGCATACTGTGCCCATGGCACTAATCCAGAGCTAATTTTCTCAATTATCTTTATGGTTTTAGGTTATGGTTGACCACAAGAGAAATAAACCAGAAGTTGTTCATTTGTTTTATGCACAGCTTGGTTCAGTGTAGTCCAAAGTCATTGCAGACCATATGGCTGATCAGCTACATCACCTGGTCTGTCATTCACTCATCACCTCCTGGCAAATCTCTATGTGCAAGGCCAAGTGCAGCTCTGTGAGAAGGCTCTTCCATGGTGAGGGATTGAGGTAGCAAGAGGCCAAGTGGCTTCTGTATCCTCATCCTCTTCCTCTGCCTGCTTCTAATCCAAATAACTTCAGTTTCAGCTGCAGGCACAAAGGTGTCAAGTCTAGCATAGACCTCTGCCCCTTCCAGCAGCTACAATCCCATGACAAATCAATTGTCATCCAGATACAGAACTCTGATTAACTAATAAACCCTAAGTGGCATACCATTCTTTTGGGGTACTTTCCTGGCACAAGTATTACATGTACTTGGCTCCCAAGGAATTTCCTGCCAATTCCTGCCTGGTGGTCTCTGTCTTGACAAGGAGCTCCTGGTTCCTCTGCTGTGCACCGTCCTGCCCTCAGGGGCCCTGGAGAGCTGCCTCCTTTCCTTAACCTTTCAGGGATGATGCAGGCCACATTCTTTTAACCTACCAATTAGGTGAGAAAGGACTCAGTCTAATGTGTAGGTCATGGTTAACAGCCAGAGTTGCTGAAGAAGCCTTACCTTTATCAGCAAAAGGGCCTGAGCAAGGTGTCTGATAGTCATCCCCACTAGCCACTCCTAGCCACAGTCAGGAACACCGAGACAGCCTCTTGTTTGCACTGTCTCCAGCAATCTTGTGGGACATCTGGGAGCCTATCAGCTGAGGACTGTCCCCCAGTGTAACTACTGCCCGGATGCCAGACATATCCTGAATCCATATTGTGACATTTCACTGACAAAATGGATATGATCCTCATAGTAGATATGGTCTTGGAAGAGGTAAGAGCTCATGTTACCCACTTATGGACTCTTAGATAGGGTAAGGCTTCCCAACTTAGGGCAGTCTTCAAGATGGGGGCCTATTGCCAGGACCAGCTCCTCTTGCTTGACTGACTTGGTTTGGGGACAGATGGAGCCAGAATATGCCATGCTCATGGCATATAACGTTACCTGCTTGCAAAAGATACCAGCTTTAGGAAGGAAATTCCTTCAAGGTCTTGGGTTATTTTCCTTTTCAGTTAAAAAGAGAAATGATGGGCTGGCCTTGCTTCAAAGGCAACTACAAAGAGAAAAAAAAAAAAAAAACGATTGGAAACTGCTACAATCCCAAACCACAAATTAGCCAGTGGCCTAGCCAAGTAGTGCTAAGTATGGATAGAGCAGGAGTGAGCTGGGCCAACAATACCTTCTCAGAACCAGAGCATAAATCAGATTGCTCCAGAATTAAGGGTCATCTTTCCAAAAGTCACAGAAAATGGGGAAAAAATCTTTAATTAGATTAATGAAATTGAAGGCCACAGGCCATGGGAGTGGCAGAACATCCCAAGGCAGATGATATGAAAATAAAAGATGATTTGAAGACATTGGTGGAAATGAGGCACCACAAACTTGCATAGGATTTATACATGAAGCAGTAACCACAACTACAAAAATAATGAGGATTAGTGATGTTCAATGTTTTTTTCTTAAACTTGTTGGCCAATTGCTAGTTTTCTTTTGGGGATGGTGATTCAGATTACTTGCCAGTTTTTAAAATTGGACTACTTTTTATGGTGTTGAGTTTTTATATTTTACATGTGAGCTTTTGGGTTATTTTGAATCAATGTTTGTAGAGGGTGAGGGGTAGGGATATAATTTCATTCTTCTGCACATGGGTACCAAGTTTTTCAATATTATTGATTAGACACTGTTTTTTTCTTCAAATTGTGTTCTTGTTGCTTTTGTAAAAATACATGCATTTATTTTGTTCCATTAGTTTATGAGATATCATTAGATCATAGTTAGAATGCTATTATAAAAATAAAGAATCTGATGAGGATGGGGAGAAAGGGACTCTCAAACTCTGTTGGTAGGAATGTAAATTATATAGCTATTAGAGAAAACAGCAGGGAGGTACCTCAAAAATCTACAAATAGAACTATCATGTGATATACTCATTCTACTACTGGGTACATATCCAAAGAAAAGGAGTATTTCAAAGAGACACATGCCTTCTCATGTTTAATGCAACATTATTCACAATCGCAAAGATACAAAATAAACTTAAATACCCATGGTTAGATTAATGATGTGATAGCCAGATTTCTATTTCCGTAACAAAATAATCTGATATAATCAACTTAAAAGGAGGAAAGGCTTATTTCTTCTAACAGTTTTGGAGACTTTTCAGTCATGGTTGATTGGCCTTGTTGTTTTGGGGCCTAAGGTGAAGCAGTACATCATTCTGGAGAACAATACATGGTGGCTCAGGCTGCTCACAGTATCCAGGAAGCAGGCAGCCAAAGAAGAGTTCAGTATCTCACAGTACTCTGTGCATCTATGTATTTTGTCATTCATGTTTTCAAACAATAGAAATCAGCAAAGGAACAAATTCTAGCCAAGTGCAACAAATATCAGAGTAAAGAACTCAGAAATGGAAGAGTCACAGATAGAATCTGTTTATATACTGAACTAATGTTCAGCAACAGGGTAACAATACACTGAATGGTACTACAGGGCAGAGTGTAAGTGTCAAATGCCATGGAAATATAATGTAACAAAAATCAGAGGTCAAGGACTGACACTGTGGGAAAAAAGTGT